GGTTTCTCTTCTGCCTCTCATTGACAAGCTAACATGCAAAGTCCTAACTCCAGTGTGTGGCCAGTGATCTGTGAAGACAGATGAACCACTGCGTGATTCTTTCTGATACCAGATGTAGCTGCTAAGTGAAGGCAATCTCATTTTGACTTGTAAATGAAGCATAATTGATATGCAAGCTATTGAAGGAGAACAACAGAAATAATATATTTGTGGTCAGTGGTCAGTGTACTGACTTAGGTATTCTATAGCTTTGGTCTCTTTTCTGGATGCAGGAGTTCTTGATTAGATTCCAGGTGAGAAATCTGCCATCATTTGTCCACTGCATCAGATTCTGCCACTGATCCAAACTGGTTCATTAAAAGAAGATACTGGGTGCATTTAAAAAAACCCAACACATCTGTGGTTCAGGTAGTGAACAGCAGCAGTTACTGCAGCGTAGGAGTGAGGTGGATTGGGCAGTGTTGTGTACAGGCCCAGGTTTGAATATCAAGGATGCTTAGTGATTAAATCCATGCCAGTTTTAACAAGGGCACCATAGTATACTTGGAAGTTAACTACAGGATGTTAAATGCTGCAGGGAAGAGGAGTTCTTCCTTTGTCTCTTTCTCTACCACACTGGGTCTTCAGTAGGAGGCCTTGTTCTCTTTTTCAGGCTGGTCACGATATGGGACGCAATAGTATTGGCTTTCCCAGGCTCCTTTGGGAGGAGTTGCCTTCATATCCATTCCATCACTCATGCCTGCTATGAAACACCCTGAAGACCTGTCCTCTGTACTTGAATATTGGTATGAGGCTAGCTGACATAAAAGGTAGTTTGTGGAAGAGCCTGTATGGAATCTTTGTTGCCACTCACTAAAGCATCAGGTTGAAGGTCTTATTCTATAGCTGACTAGATTCCAAGTGCCTACTACCTTGCTATACCTGCCTAGCCCTGGCAAACCTGGATGACTGCTGCCGTTTGTACTCACTTTTGTGTTCAAAGCATGGGACTGGACAGTAGACTCCAGAGTACTAACTTTGGTGGGTTTGACACTGGAGGAGTGACACATGCCTGGTCTTACCCTCCCTTTAGGTACCAGACCTGTCACCTTGGCAGGCAGGAGTTCCTCTCATGAAAGATTCCATGTGTTGTATTATTGCTTCACCTTCCTTGTGTTCTGAATTTTGGAGTGCAGGATGATAGAATTGGCACCTCTTAGGGACCATGCTGTTGGGTCCTCTCCCAGGCTTTTGGACTGACTGTGTAACAGACAGATTGGAAGTGCTGCTAGGCCATGAGAGATGTCTACAGTGATGGATGTTTTGCTCGCACATGAAAGGTGGGTTTTGCTAAGCTCCCTGATTGAAATAACCACACTTTGAAAAATGGGGTTCCTGAGTTTCTGTTCAGTCTTTTAATTGCACCAAGGATGCTCATTTGAATCCCAGTCAACCTGAGTGGTGTGCAGACTCAGAACACATGCTGCTCTCACCACATACCTCACTTCCTTCCATGTGCAAGTTGAGGAGGGACTGCCATAAAGCACAAAACATCAAAGTAACATAATACATGGGCTAGCACTACTTTGGGTGGAGGGCTTAGCAGTGATTTTTTTTTTTTTTTTGCATCCACAGCAGAAGGGGCATGGGAAAGGTAAATTATGTTTTTAAAACAGGTTTCCTTCCTTACATTATCCACACCTACTCTTAAAGGACCTCAAATCTCTCCACCCTTTGTGGTTTGCTTTGCTTGCTTACACCCTTTTCAGCTTGGACAATGAAAAGTAACCTGATTTCAATTCATCTGTAGTACCAATCAATTTCCTTTTCAAGTTTCCAAACACTAGCACAGTGCTTCTGTGTCTTAATTGCACATGCATCAGGGGAAAGATTTGGGTTTTAAAGAGATTTTCCACTGGGTTTTTTTAACATTGAAATATTTATACTGGATTTAAGCTTTACAAGGACTAAAATTGGAGATTACATTTTGCTTGAATGGCCCTGTCCTGTCCTGTCCTGTCCCCTCCCCCCCACAGTTACATCACATCCTGCTATCTCATTTGAAACTCGGAGTTTGTCCACACTGGGAGGAGAAAGCTGAAGTTAAAATTTCAGAGAAGGTAGCTTAGGCTGGTAGCTTGTGTTCAAGCTCACGCTCTCCCAATACACTTCACTTAAGCATCTACCTAAGAAAAGTTCAAGTCTATAGAGAATCTTGTGTTGAACTGTAGCTGCAAATCTGAGGTAAAAATGGTCTTAATTGTGGTCTTTAATCCAAGTTAGCTAAAATTGCACCTTTTTAATAGGGCAGATGTACCTTTGTCAGGTTCAAGCAGAAAAGCCTAGCTGCATGGAGGAGGAGGAGGAGGAGAGTGGTTAATTTTCACCTCTAACTTTGATTCTAATACAGCCAGCCTTGGTCACAGTCTGAAGTTATGGTCATCTGACGGTTTGGAGAGAGAACAGGTATCTGTTAGAAAAGCTTTACCCTTGTTGGCCCGTTACTGAAACTGTCACAGTTGGCATAAGGTAAAGTGTTTTGAGGCATTGCCATCACAGGTGGCCCACTGACAGATGCTTGTCCTGTGATTGACTACGCTGTGCCAATCCTCACTCATTTTTCAAGCCTTACATTCAGTTTTAAACAAAGCTTTTAAAAATAAACTTGCTTTTTGACACTACTACAATGTGGCAGATGGGATTTAAACATTCATGAAGTCGTACTGGAAAGAACATTGCTCAAAACTAGTGATGTCCTCCTGCATAGATCTTACACAGAATGTTACTGCATTCACGCAAATCAAAGATGTGGGGCTCCCCTCCATTTATCATGGGGAGCAACCCCTCATCTTGGCTTTCAGTAGTACACGTGGGGGCACAGGTGGCTGCTGCAGTTCAGATTCCAGCCCCAACCCAAGCTTGGGATTGGAATTGGAAATGGAGCTGCTGCTTCCTCTGCCACCTGCCTGTCCCCACTCTGCCTCTGTTCCCCCACAGCCAGTGTAACCATAAAGTCAGCACAGGTAACTACCTAGGGCAGTCAGTTGTAGGGGATGGTAAAAACAAGAGTTCTGGAGGGGCAGATGGTGCACATGTTCCGCAGAGCTGTTTCCCAAGGGCAGCCCAGGGCACAGAGCACAGGCCCCCGCCCCAGCCGATACAGCAGTGGTGGCAGCAGCTTCAAGGCTTAGGCTGGAGCTGCCTGCCATCATAATTGCTGTTGAGTGGGGCCAAGAGTGCCCATGTGCTCTATGCCCTGGGCTGGAGTGGGTTCAGAGCTAGGGCAGTGGGGGAAGCTCAGGGGGAACAAGTGGGGAGGGGACATGTGATTGGGGGCGGGGAAGAGTCAGGCCACTTGACTCCCCTACTGCCTCTCCTACTGTTGGTTTCCCCATGGCAATTATAACAAACTTACATATTTTCCATGTATAGAATCTAATTATTGGTAGGAGTCATCTTAAATTCAAAGTCATTTTGGATTTGGGTAAACACAGTAATATCCAGAAAGTTGCAGTTAAGGCTAAAGGTTTAAATGGTGAAGTCCAGGAAGGATTTTTAACCTGAATTAAAGCCTGCATTGGATACTAACATAAACCTGAAGATTGGACTCTGCACAAGTCAGATCCATTTAATATAAAATAGCAAATGCCAACTCTACCAAGTAATTTAGAAAGCTTCAGATGGGAAGGCAGGGGGGAAGAGAGGGCAAAACATAGATCTTCCTGTATAGAGCCACCGCTTGATTCTTGAAATCTCTTGCTCCTGGGACAAAGGAAAATATTTGGTCTCAAAGTCATGGGGGGGAGAAAAGCAAGGTCCTGCCAGGTGGATGTGGAATTTTAAGTGGATATAAAATTTTCAGAATCCATTTTACTCTCCAGAAAACCTCAGATTTCAAAGACAGGAATTTTTTCTGGCTGAAGCTGGGTTGCAGCATCTGGAAAGATGCAAATTCTTCTCTTCCTCCAAACACCAGGGCTTTTTCTTTTTCTAAACCAAAACCACATTAGGAACTTTTTTTTTGTTACTGTTCCAAAGATAAGTGGCTAAGGAAATTGCACTGATCACCGGAACAGTGCTCACCTCTTCTACTACTACTCATGCTGAGGCTAGCATGGCTCTGCTCCTTGCATGGATATGTTTGCAAAGCCACAGCAATGGAATATGCTCCTTGATGCCAGTCATGCAGAAGGGATGGTACTATGTTAGGCCAAAGCCAGAACCTAAATAAATAAACAAACATTTCAATAGTTCGAGTGAAATATTCAACCATGGTGTTGCCACCTAAGGCATGGATCAGGAACCTATGGCCCATGAATGCGGGGCTTTGGCAGCAGGAGGTTTCCCTGTGCTGCTGTGGGCAAATGCAGCTGCAGCAGCTGGGTCTTTGCACCTGCTCAGATGCCTCTGACCCAAACTGGGTCACTTCAGCCTGCAGTCTAGAAAAAGGTTGCTGGCTGCTGACCTAGGGCAAGCAGTTTCTTTAACGCTCACTGGCCACTGATGAACAGGAACTCAAATCCACACCTTTTTACCCAGGAAGGGGATGTAAGGTTATTTGAGGGTTTGAGCATAACTAGGATGATTGGAAAACATTCCCTCTAAGCTAGGAAGCCCAGGTGGTTTCCTTGTGCTTTGCCTGTAGCAGTTTAGAGCTGGCTGCTGAAAGCAGTGTTTATCCCCTTGACTGTTGTGAAACCACATTTCCCCTGTGTACTAGAGGCAGCAAAGACCTTTTGGCTGCTCTAGTAAGGATGGCTGAGAGGTAATGGAAAATCTACCCTATTGTTAAAGTTTGTACTTGTGGAGAGCAAAAGGCCAAACCGGCTATGTGCAGTCCCCTTTTCATGGGTTGGGGATGGTGGCATGTAAAATCACCATGATGTGCAATTCCACCATGCTGTGACTTGTTCCTGTTAACAAGCTGAGCTAAGTTTATGTTAAGTTGTACTCGAAAGTCAATTTGGATGAAGATACAGTTTGGATCTAAAGTAGCAGCTATTCTGGAATAAACCCAAGCGCAGACAGGCCTTTACGAAGAACAACTGGTGCTGCAGGAAGTATTTATTTATACAGTTTATATGCCAACCTTCCCAAAAAGGATGCACAGTATCTTACAATAAGAAAACAGAATATCTTATAAAACAGGAGAATGACAAAAGAAAAAGAACAGCTTAAAAAGGAACTAGAATATCAACACAGAACAAACCCCATAAATATTTCAGTTTATCTCTCTCTTTGCTAAACACCTGCCCAAATAGGGAGGTCTTAAAGTACTTCTGAAAAAATGTCCCAGCTAGGCTCTAGAGGGTCTCAAGTGGGAGGCAGTTCCATAGCTGAGGGATGACTGCTGGGAAAAAACCTCCCATGTGTTTTCACTAAGCAGACTTGGCATTACTGATGGTACATGCTATAGGTTGCTCTCAGCTTTTCTTAGAAATTGTGATGGGATGTAAGAGGGAAGGCAGGCCCGTTTAGGGATGGATGGGTCAAAAATAGCACTTTGAATTGTGCCTGGAAAGCTACTGGTAACCATCTAAGACTCCAGAGAGCTGGATGTGCTTCTGGTGACCCACCTCCGTCAGAAGGTGGATTGCTGCATTCTGAACCAGCTGCCGCTTCTGGATGGTCTTCAAAGGCAGCTGTATGTGAGGCACACTGCAGTAATCTAGGATTGAGATTACGAAGATATGGGTGAGGGTGGCCAGATCCAAATCTAAAGGGGTCACAGCCTTCTCACCAGATGGAACTGCTGCTACTTGAAGATCCAGGTGCAGCAGAGGAGCCAGCAGCACCCTAAGGTTGTGAATGTGAGTGACAAAGGGATGCCAAAACCCATGAAAGAGGTGTTCTAATCCCTCAAGTAAACTGTTCTGCCTACCACCATCACAAATGCTATATAGTACAGGAGGGAGGCACTGTTTTGCTTGGAGTTGGGCCCCACCATTGCCATGTTGCTGGAGAAGTCAGGCTTTAGATTAATGGGTCTCAACTTTTAGAATCTGAGCCCCCCTAGGGGCTAGGCAGGTACAACCCTGAGCCTGCATTTATCTCTGCACACCTCCTGGCACCCTTCAAAAGATCTTGCAACACCCCAGAGTGCCCCAGCACCCTGGTTGAGGCTCTGCTTCAGCTGAAAGTTAAAATATGAACTGTGGATCGTTTGCAGTCATTGCTTTTTATTACAGTAGGGATTGTTAAGACTAAAGTCCTTATCAGTTCCAATCCTGGATAACAACATCTAATATCCTAAATCCCCACTATCTCAATCTTGGCTGAAGCAATTATGTAGTAACACTTTTGCCTTGTTACAGTTGCTGTGCTTCATTTCTGGCCGTTTCTATGGTTGCCTTTTACCTCAAAAACATTTCACTTCAATGGTGACAGTACAGGCACAGCTCTGCGCGCATTGCCAAGCTCCAAACACATTGCTAGCATTTGAACCTGGATCACCTAAACTTTATTCTTTGCTTTTAAAGTAGTACCCAGAGATGTCAAGCAAGAGCAGAGCCCCTTGCACAGGCAGCACACAGCTCCTACTGTTTAGTGCTTGCCATCTATAACTGGATTTTCAAAGGAGATGAAGGGAACTAGACAGCCAATTCCCACTGAAATCCAACCCACTGACATGGGTAGGGGAAATGGGGGCCCAGAGATTCTTTCAAGGCTATACGTTAAAGCAGTGGCAGAGACAGGACCTCTAGCAGCTCCTCGTATTGCAACAGCCTCTTCCTTTCCTGAGGCTACTGAAGCACAACACTGAGGCTGACAATCCTCCTGGGAAACAAACTTTTCTATAGATAAGGAAAACAGAGGGACAGAGATGAAATGACTAATTTACACTCGCACAGTGCATTAGTGGCAATGGGACCCACACCCAATCCTTTGCTCTCACTGAAACCCACCCCCCTTCCCAGATTTAGTAGAAACCAGACAGCTTGCCACTTCGTTCTCAAACTGCTCCACCTGCTAAAATAATGACCCAATTACCCAAAGCACCTTGACTGCTCCTAGCGTTGCTCAGCTGCCTAACTGGAGGAGGATTCCAGCATTTCCTCCTCTTGTTTATATAAGCAAAGGATGATATAAACCCTCTGTGAAGGGCTTGAAGGCTGAGCACACCGTTTATGGCAATGAAGAGCAAAACAGTGAGATATCAAGTGAACAGCCCAAGTCTGATATACCAATGAGAGCAGGATGTGCTGTCTCAGATTCCCCTTTCCAGCCTGATTTTACACCAGGTTTCAGCACTGGATTTGTGTGGCTTCTAAAGCCCCTCCCTCCTTGGCTGTCCTACAGAAGCAACCCCATCAGGGAGTAACTGGGATCAGCCTGGCTGATGGGTAGGCACATACATGGACCTGTGCATAAGGCTGAATATCCTGAAAGCCTGGCTCTGCATGCTGAAGCACATGTGCTCTCTCATGTGTCTAAAGGCCTGGGCTCATGCAGAGCCCAGGGTACTTTTTGGTCAAACCCAGCAGCCAGAGCTGTGTTTTGTGTGAGCAGGTACCAGGTTCCCATGATGGCCGGAAGCACCTGGTTTCTTGAGCCCAAATGCTACTGCTTGCCTCCCTAAGAAGAGGGATGCCAGAGATGGGCAGAGAAGCTAGTACAAGAGACCAACCATTCCTTTAGCCTGAATAACATGTCACTCATGCATCATGAGTCAAGTTATAAATAGGAAGCAGTCTTAAACAACTCAGTGATGTGAAGTTTTTTCAGCACTCTTCCCAGGTGATGATCTCAAAGCAGCATCCAGATAGTGATGAAGTCAGCCTTCTAACACTGCCAGTATTTCAGTTGCTTCTTCAATCTTCCCAATGCTATGGGCCAGGTTTCTTCCTGCTGCAACCTCCACCATGGGTTTCCTTTGCCAGTTACTGCAGTAGGAATTGCCTGTTGCTTTTCCTGGAAGTGTGCTTTTAAAATGTAACAAAGCAACATGGTATCAGCTCTCCAAGGCAGAATATTTATGTAGCACCCCAGGAATCACAGACCTCATGCTAAAATCCAGCAGTTGCTGGGGAGCAACATGGTAACTACTGAACAGCCACAGTAAAGGGGAGGGATTGTTCACTCAATGCTGAAGTGCAGCCACCTCAGGAAGCCCACGTGAGCTGTTTAGTAGCCATGCAACAAAAATCACTCACCCAGCAAAGTGTGACCTGCTCTGGGGGGGAACATAGGAATCATTTGGCATTGACACGGCAGCACAGGGATTGCTTGCCCAACAGGAAATCACATCCCTCTCTGGGACAGAACTTGGGAAGCAGTTAACAGCTACACAGCATGATAGTTTAACACAGGAAGGAAAGGTCCCCACATCCAGTTGAAGGTGGGGAAGTAGCCTCTCTTCTAACTCCAGCACGGTGACCCCGGACACCAAGCACATTTTCTAGTCCTGCTCTACCTTTGGATGATTCACTCAGTCAGTGAACCAAGGAAGAGAATCTAGGAGACCTAACACATGCACAGCAGATTAAGCAGCTGCACCTTCAGCAATGGCCTCCATCAGTGAGTCTAGCTATACAGCAGGATGTGTGCATCACAGGGAATATTCATCACCCACAGGGAAGTTCACACTCTTTGCACAGAGGACAGGACTGGGATTCAGGAGATCTGGGCTCTATTCCTAGCTGGGCTACTGGCTGGCTGGTTAACCTTAGGCAGTTTGTTTTCCCTCTCTGTGCCTCTGCTTCCTTTTCCACATACAGGAGATGACTGAAGTCCTCTGCTCTGAAAAGTGCTAGTTATTATTATGTACAGCTGGTGAGCATAGCTAAAAAATGAGGAGGGAGAGGCTGAAAAACCAGGCAGAGCCAGGACCCCTAGGCTCCATCCTCAACTCTCCCACTGCCTTGCTGCATCACCTTAGATGTGTCATTTTGCTAGTCTCCACCTGTAAAACAGGGTGAAGAGCGAGGACACCTGCATTCCATTTTCAGCTCTGCCTGACCTTGGACCAACTTCCCAATTATAAAACAGGGTTAATACTCACCCACCTCCCTAGGGACAGGTTCCTGTTCCATATTTGTATATCCTTCTTTCTTGCCTTATAAGAGCATACCCTTCCCTCCAGGCTAAGGCATTTAGCAGGGTAGGAGGGGAAGGGAGCAGTATCTGTGGATAGAGTAAAGTACTAGGAGCCAGGACTCCTGGGCTCTATTTCTGGCCCTACCACTCAGACACCATATGATCTTGATGTGTCTCAGTTTCTCCAACAGGGAGTGTTATGAGGGGCTTCATGGCTTGAAAGGATGACAAAGTTGGAACCTTACAGAACAGGTTTTAAAAATTTATACTCCATTCCTCCACTGGTTCATCTCTTGGCAGGGTTAGGAGCATCTCAGAGATAAATGGAGTTCCATGGCATTCACTGTGCCTAGAACTTGAAGAGGAAGGTTGTCTAAGGTAATATCTGGCTGCTGGGTGTTGAGCTCCTGGCACCTTTTATATCAAGAGGAGGATTTTCTGCTAGTGTCCTCAGTTAAACTTTCCTCTCCCTCCTCTAGCTGGCCTCCTCCTCAGAGGCAGCTACATTTCAATGGTGAGTGGTTTCTAAAGTGCCAGGGAAGCCATATGTCAGTAGAAACAACAATGAGTTAGAGACATGAACTGTTTTTCTGAAGGCAGAATGAGATGGGACACCTCTGCTCAAACTGTCTCGTGCATATCTGCAGACAGACAGGACTTTCCTACTTCCGTCTGAAAAGTGGGGCCCCTCATCCCTCCCCGTTATCAGCCTATGGGTACCTGTTGCCTGAGAGAATCAGGTTGACTATATCTGGCTACTCGCCCCTTCTCCCCATGGCATTTGTATTTAATACAATAGAGCCTGATTGTGTTACTAATTACTCTTCCTCCTACAGCAGAAACCGCTGAGACACCCTCTTCACCTTGGTTTAATTATGCAGCTGCACCTTTGTTCCTTGTTCTCCTTTTCTGCAAGACTTTATTTAGCATCAGTGCAGCTCAGGAGTTTGACTCAGGCATTGTCCACATGTGAAAGTTGTATTGCTTTAACTATCCTGGTAGTTAAAGGGACATGTATGTTCACATCCATGAAATGTCATGTGATTATATGTTATGGCTGTTCCTCCTGTGGCAAGGGTGTCAAACATATGGCCCACAGTCCCCCAGAGGGGCCGGAGATATAAGGATGGGACAAGTAATAGCAACATTAACCCCTACAGCCCCCTTAACTGACAGTAGTTCAGGCACCCACAGGGGTGAATTTGAAATCCATCTCTCTGCCACTGAATTCTGGGGTATAGAGCTTCACTGGGGACTTTTTTGCCATACGTAAGCTGCTGCTGCAACAACAGAGGTGTTATGCCCCAGGGCTCCCTGAACAAACAGTGGCTTAAGCACCCATAGGGGTTATTGCCA